AGAGAGAGAGAGAGAGAGAGAGAGAGAGAGAGAGAGAGAGAGAATGTGTGTGTGCGTGTGTAAGAGTATTTAGTCGCAAAAATTAAAAATATATCAGTTTTCATACTTCCGATACGTGTAACTTCAATTATCTCAGTTTAGCGATATTTATATGATCGATATTTTTTTAACTGTATATATGTGTAGATCGTATTTTCATTAATATATATTTCTTCATTAATATATATACCTTGAATATTGAAAATATTACTAAAAAAAATGTGCACACTAAAAAAATATCTAAAAATTAACAAATATTTATTAAATGAATTAACATATTTACTTAACATATTAACATATTTACTTAAATCAAATTTTTTTTCATTCGAACCGTATATTGTTTATTCAGTTTAAATAAATAATATTCGGTTGAATGGAGAGAAGTTTGATTTAAGTAAATATATCAATGGTATTCACCTAAGAAATATTTGTTAATTTTAAAATATTTTTTTTCTCAATACAAATCAACTATCTTAATCGGATAAACAACTCCTCCTTTTATTTCCTTTGACAGAGATATCAATTGCGTCGATTTTTTCTACTAAAAGATCGGGAAGTTTATCCGTGAGGTCCTCGGTATGCGAGAGTAAACGCAACGGCGATGGACACAATAACGACCCACTCGTCGTCGGTGAGCATTATCGTAACGATGACTGCTCCATAAAAAAAAGAGGCCGCGTTATGCTAAAACGATAGACGCGCCACGAGCTACGGGATAGTACGTGTTGTCGGTAGTTTCGCAAGTGGCTCGTAAAACTTTTAAATCCCGCCGTTTAAAGGGATATAGCCGCGTAGTAGCGTCGCTATTCTCTGTCTGGGCGGCGCGACGCGAGGCAGCGCAATGCGAATGCAAACGCGACGGATCGTTTTGATTAGGGAGATACACACGCTCGCGTCTATCATATCGAACGCAATCTCCAGCCTCCATCGGAACACTCGCGGAGCAGTAGCAGCAGCAATAGCAGCAGCACGTCGGTGCAGTATAGACGCGGCGGCCGAATAGCGGCGACTTTGAAACGGCGACGCAACGCTAACATTGACTCGGCATTCATGCATTAGCGTGCGCCAATGTAAACGCTCCGACTACATTCATGTGTTTCCTTTCCCGCGGCGAACGCGATCGATTGCAAATATTACTTTGGTCAATTTCAGCCGGCGGTCTATTTACTTGTTTGTGGTATCACTTTGCTACATCGATAGGGAAAAGTCGGGGAGGCGAGGGAGCGCGGCGGAGAAATAGATAGAGGGAGATAGGACACAGAGAGAAGCCGACGCGACATATACGCTCTCGACCGCAGGTTTATGTGCGTCCACGATGCGCTTTCGTGTATCGTGCGCGCATGCGTCGCCCGGCACGTATACCAGATTCAGCCACTTATCTCCCTCGACGTACCTTTCGGCCAGTTAACCGTTACGATACGTATGACGGTGATGAATGATTCGGAATTAGTCTCAATTTCGGAGCGCTGTGAGTTGCACGATAGCCTGTTACGCAGGTATACGCGCGAGTGTTGTTTCATTGATACTTTATTACCGTGCGATAATGCACATAAGGACGTCTCCTTTGTAGCGTCATCTAATCTATCTTTAAACGGAACCGAATTTATCTCTTATTTGGAATTCATATATTGCATCATTAGGCCTGTTCTTTGTAGCTGCACTGGTGCAATATATTGAAGTGAGACAAATATTTACGTTTTCTCACTCTAACGTATTGTACTAGTTCAGCAGTGTAGCTACAAAGAACAGGCCTAATTTCTTCCTAATGAATTAGCATCAATGCTGTTTCCGACTAGTATAAATATTAGAACTGTCAGGGTAGTTAAGATGACAACACGAGTTTGTGATTTCTTATAGAAATCGTTCAAACTTATAGCGGTACATTTTGTATATTTAATTACGCGAGTAATTAGTTGTGAATAAGATTAAAAAGAATAAGTAAATATTTTTCCCCTTGCATTACATTTTTTTTCTTTTTTAGAAACCTGTCGTTTTTTTTTATCTACTCTGGTAGAAATAGATCGCTGATCGTCCGTACACACAGAAAAATACATACTGTATTCAGATAAATGTTAGTGTTTCAACATGTTCACTATCATGGTTTATTTAGAGGACTCTTCTCACAGCTCACCTCGTATTTATTTTACGTAATTTTGTAAAACAGACTTAATTTGATAACGTGCACATAGAAGAAATAATTTTTTGCCGTCACACATATGTGACGCTAGTAACAAACATTTTAATTATTTCATAAGTTTATATATCCACAAATCTGTTTCAAGTTTATTATAAGCGTTAAATTTATTCAAAATATACTCTGAGAATCCTAGTAAGTTTAGCGCTTCCATCAAGAATATTAAATGAAAGAATTATTATTAGAAAAAGAATTATTAGAAAATTTGGTTTGCTTACTACATGGAGTCGAGCCAATTAAAGTTTTATAATATTCTGATAAAAGAAATAAATTTTTCTTTTAAGTATGCGTAGTAATGAGTCTTTTTTCTCAAATTTGCGATTAGTATATTTTAAGATTATTATCAAGGAAATATTTTTTGTCGAAGGCAGCCATTATTTAAAATAAGGAAAGTAAAGTGAATAATTTTTGTAGCAGTAGAATGATATTTTCACGTATGTAGTTTTAGTGTTAATGCTGTTTTCGATTAGCAACGATGTTAACGTTCACACTTTAACAATCTCAGCGTTAACACGATCGTACATGATCTCTCTAGAATTGCTCCTAACGGAACGTACGTTCGATTAGAGGTATCCGAGTCTATTAGTTCCCTCGGCGAGACTCGCGTTCAACGTAAAGAACGTAATTCGGAGTGCTCCGCGTTCGCGACGACGTCATAACGCTAAATAAGATTACCGACGCTCGAATCGCCGCGCCACATTTCGCCTCTCGCGGGCGAGGAGAATACAATTTCGGAAATGGGAGCGTGGCTCTCCTCGTCCCGTTGTCGCCGTGTTTAATCGGAATTCTCGAGCGTGCGAGCGGCAACGCCGCGCGGAGCTCGGCGTGCGAACGCGGTCGGGATACTCGCTAATGGCCGCGCGTTCGCATCTTAATAATCCGATCTGCCGGCCGTTGATATAAGAACAAGCCGGCACAGCCGTTCGGCCACGCTATTAATGACGTAACGTATTTCTGTGTTTCAGGTGCGATGGAGTCTCGTGGAGCCGGCTTCTACTATGAGTTGAGGCTTCGTAATTAATCGTGAGTACACATAGAGTGGCCCCAAGTTCCAATACATGCACGCGCACGCGAGTACATAGCGAACGGGCGCCGCGAGATCGTTAAGCGATGCGCATGTACAACGGCGAGATCGTACATATATGTAATCCCCCGCTAAATTGCGGATTTAATACCATGAATTTTATCGCGCGCAGCCGCGCTTCCTTTATTTCGCGATCGCGCGTTCTCGACATTCGATCGCGTTAATCGCGTTGCGCGTGCTTCTCTCTCTCTCTCTCTCTCTCTCTCTCTCTCTCTCTCTCTGAACTTATTAATGTTGCGTACTCTTCTTATTCTCTTTGTCTCTCTCTACCGTTGGAAATCGAGTGACCGCGGGCGTTTTTCTTAAGTGTGCGCGAGCGAACCGTATCGGCACGTTTCTTCGATCTCTGATCTCTTTTCTGCGTGACTCGTGCGCCGATAGATATGATACGTCGAGATTACGCATTCCATTATTATTTCACTATCGGCTTTCCTATTTTTATGACGATACGCGTTATACCGGGGTTCCCGCGCGCGCTTTGTGCTTACTTATATCGCGTCACGACGAACTTGTAAGCGTCTCGTAAAACAACGCTTCTTTTAACTTCCGACATGGCTATAGAACGCTGTAAAATGCATCGAACACGTATGTGTGCGCTATAAGGAGAACGATCTCTCTCCCTGTCGCGTGAGATCGATTCGATCTCGTTTAAAAGCGACCAACTTCACCTGCCGAAGAAACTTTTCTGCGGAAGGCATATATTTATATATATATACGACACATCATGAGTGCCCGAACATTTACTTGATCTTTTTATACGATTTTTAGCCTTATATACAGGGTTGTCAGATAATTTACAGAGGAGTCGCGGTGTACATGTAGATTAGGTTAAAGTAAACAAAAAATTCATCTACCATTTTGCAAAAAACGTAAAATTCGAAGTTATTAATTAAAGAAGATTCATGAATGATCCATACGTAGTTCAAAATTTTACGTAGTTGGTCGCAAAATGGTAGAAGAATTGTTCGTTCAGTTTGAACTAATTTACCTGTATACCTTCGTGAGTTATCGGACACTCTGTATAACGCCTGAGATTGAAAATCGCACAAGTAAAGCGCTCGTCACACGATCCTCGATTGTGTGAATCGTACATGCTAACATTCATGAAGTTGTCCATGAAGCCGTGCATGGTAACACACATGACTTTGTTGACCGTGAAGGTTACATTTTTTCGTACACGCTTCCGTGCATGCACCAATCGGTGATTAATTCATATTGGAGCCGATAATATGCTCCAAAATTATTTGTGAGCGTAAATGTTACATATATCATGTCATAACCAATGTATCAATTTACAAGTTGACATTGAAATAATAATAATACAGAGCAAGGAGGTCATTCACACACAATCGAGAATCTTGTGATGAGCGCTTAACTATAGTTATAATGATAGGTTTACAATGGCTTTAATATAATAGTTTATAATGAATAGTTGTAATGAATTGTCAAATGTAGTATCGAGAAAGAGGCTTAACTTTTTTCCCGCGTTAAATGAGTTACGTACATTATTAAAGAGAATAATATAATATTTCATTAAATTTTTCTTTTAGGCAATATGTAGTAACATAATGATAGATTATTGATAGATCATTGATAGATCATTGATTTAAATAGAGTCTATTCAAAGTTCATTATCTAAAAAGAATTAACGATTTCAACATAACAATAAACAAGACTAACAACTGAGATTATCAGCAGTTAGAAAACTCTAAGAAAAGATGGACTTGTACAGTCAAATTCTAGGCAGTACATACGATCGCATATTATATAAAACTTCAAGTAGTGACGGTTACTCGTTTATATCTAATCACAACGAGAATTTACCTGTGGGCGAGCGAGTTAGCCAGCGCAACCTATCGATGATCGTTGAAACGTATATCCGAATTGTACTTATATCTCTGTATATCTCTATATATTGCAACTTATTTAACAGTCTTAAGAAAACTGTTGTAATGATTTTTCTTTAGTAAATCGGGTGTGTGCTGAATACGAATGTATCTACAAAAACTCCATTACGCCAGGTTCCCGAGAAAATAAGGGTTTAAAATATGTGTAAACGCAATTTTGGCCATTTTCAAAAAAACGCGTAAACCAGATGTGTCAGCAACTTAGAAAAAGTCTGAAATTGAAGCTTGAACCTTTGTCTTTATTTTAAAAAGAAACTCAAAGTAACTTCGTAAAAGGAATTTTACTTTCACAGGAATAAACCGTTGTCATAAATTTATATAACAAAATAGCAAAATTATAATTCATATCCAACAAATTTTTAGGCGTTTAAAATCAGTGACCATGAAAACACTTCTGTTAAAGTTCATTGTATCTGTCTAATAAAAATTTAATCAAAATCTTATACAGAATTTTTGGATACAGGATACAGAATTTTTTTATTTAGTCTTAAGTTGTTTTTACAATTTCAACTACTCTTTAAGGGCGATATGTGCGACATGAATAAGTGGAGTATTTTTTTCTGCAATCTTTATTATTTTTGAGTTTATTTTTAACAGAAATATACCCAGAAATATTTGGCTGTGAGATATAATTTTGCTATTTTCTTGTATTTTGTGACGGTGTTTATTTCTCTGTGAGAGTGGCTTCTACGAAGTTGCAGTTTAAGTTTCCGATTTTTTAAAATAAAAACATAGGTTTAAGCTTCAATTTTAGACTTTTTCAAAGTTGCTGGTACATCTGATTCATGTGTTACGAATTTATGAATATAACTAAATACACGTCTTTTGGGAATTTAAACTCCAATTTTCTCGGAAATGGACAATTTTTAAAGTCACATTCGTCGTATTCAGCGTACCCAAATTATATTAATGAGCCCAAATTATTAATGAACCTTTCATAGTAAAAGTGCAAAAAATTGATTAAAATTTATAATATAGTATTATCAGAATCATCTTTATTCAATATATCTTATTATTTAATTTATTTAATATTCTTCTTTGATAGAGAATTGCTTTTATTATGCAGTTATATCAATCACTTTTGTAGTTGAAAGAACATTTATAATGTTCACACATTTAACTACATTTCAGTTCTATTTTAGTTTTAGTTCAGTTTAAATTTTTTACTTTTGACCAAATGTTTTAATTAAAATTCTTACATCGGATTGGCGAACAGACTTAATTTTGTTTAATTTGATTCAATTGTAGTTAATGTAACTAAATTTGCACCATCTAGAAACTTAGTTCGCTTTACGCGATCTTTTTTTCATGGAATTGAAAAAATGTATAAATCCCAAAGCTATACGGGTTATGATAGTTATAATTATAGATCTACTTATAGATCACTTAATATTAGAATAACTTACTTATTATAGTTTCAACTCTCATGTAATATGGGTCTGTGGAACCTGAACGAATATTCTATCGCTCATTAACTTTTATAAAGGATCCGGGAAAATTTCAAAATATCGTAAATCAATAGATTTTGATTTTATTGCGCTACTGTTTTATAGCTGTAGTTTTTCTATATCCCTGGAAAAAACATGTCTGAAAATACCGATTTTTAACAAAATTATGAATGTTTAAAGTTGACAGATCCAAAATGTACTGTATGTCTAAAAAAATATCATTATACGTGGAGAGTTAAAGTAAAATTATTGGTAACTATATATTTACATTGTTATATATATACACATATATAAATTATTAGACTTCTATTGATACTAAATTAAAAAAAAAAATGATGTATTTATGCAGTCAGCATAAATGCATAAAGTCAGCATTTATGAGTCAGCAATTATGTCGTATTTTTCTCTATAATAAGTCAAATACACAATTTAATACTGATATACAATTTAATACTGATACTAATAACGTCTATATTAACATTGTTTCAGTCTATATAAAATAATGGTGGATGCACTACAATCATAGTACACTAATAGTATTATAAATATAAAGAATCGATAAAGCAAATAATATTCTAGATTTTTGTTTAAATATTAATAATACTTGTATGAATGTAACTTTAGAAAGTAATTGCAGAGAACTAAAGAACATAAAAAATAGATAATTATTTACATTAACGACTCGTCTTTGACTTTCATATATGTCATCAAATATATAACTCCGAGTAACAATTAAAAAATTTTAGCCGTCGATCTTTGTTCATTAACAAGTTATTGACATAAAATAAAGAGTTAGGGGTGGAGGAGGGGCGAACCTCCTGAGAGATGTTTAAGCGGGAAGAAGTTGAAAAATATCGGAATATGGCGAAAAATGCGTTTAGAACTTGAAAAACTGCGTTCTAAATAAAAAGCTTCTTTGGTTAATAATTTTTTAATAAACAATGACCCCCAACTAAAATCTTCGAAAAGTTATTTACGACTATTGATAACATATGTTGTTAAGGTCATCGTGATGTCCGTTAATGCAAATAATTACCAAAAATGTTTTCCATTTTAATTGTAATGCGTACTTAATTAATATATTAATGAATGTTATTCAAAATTGGAACTCACTTCATAATCGTTACCTTTATTTGTAGAGACAATTACGTTTTTCCAAAAATCGCTCTCGTCACCAAAAGCTTCATTATCTGACGAATATTTCGAGGGAACCTCTCATAGAATCGGGGTATTTCGCCGGGATACCTCTGCCTATATTTCCATCACGAGGGGTAAACCTGGAACTCACGTTTATTGCGAAATAAAGAGTCATTTAAGCGCTTAATATCACTTGATTTCGCAATCGGTTCGAATCTGACACGCCGCGCGGAACAACGGCGGTGGTAGTGGTGGAGGAGTACACCACGACGGTTTTTACCGTAGGCGTCGACATTCTCGAGAGAGATTACGGCGCTCGCCCGGCGCATTTCTTCGTATCGATCGCCACGAATACTCCCACATAATTCGCTTATTACAGCTTCCGCGTATCTCCGCGTTTTCCCCACGGCATTCCCGACTTCGCGGAAAAAAAGTACGCGCGCCCGG